GTATGCCGGGCCCCAAAGTCTTAGGTTCCCGTTCAGAAATCCCGAGATCATCGTCACCGGGGGTTAGAGAAACTAGGCGATGTGGCTGGGTGTCGCAAACACTTGTGCTGTTTTTTATTACACACTTTCGTGTGATGAACAGGAGACGGGGTAAACCTCATAGTCACGAAGACCTGCTGTTCATGCATCCACTCATTATTCATGCAACATCAGTCCATATGAACTATCTGTATTTCGCTTGAATTTGCTCTCAACATTCCAATCTTCATTGTGCCCTTTTATCCAAATGGGCGCCCAAAAGACAGCAACCAAAATCGGCACACCATCGTGCATGGGTAGTGGTTGTAAAAACAAACTGGAGGCCTAAGGTGTGTAACAATATTTCACACGTTTGAGTTCAGACTGTGCCAAACGAATTGCGGTAGAATAATCTTTATAAAAAGTATGTGTACCAAAATACGCAGTGTGTATGAATCATCAAAACAAGTACCCCACCTAGTTGCACTATGTTCGCACGTTTAAGGCAAGAAGTGAACGTCGATTGTAGCAGATCATTAGCTTAGGCATACTGAATGAGCTTGTTCATATCGGTCCATTTCACCACAGTTCTGTTTAAAAGGCTCGGTTGAATTATTCGGAATCACATATGCCTATACTTCAGCTTCTCGAGTAATTACGAATCTTATCTAAATTATTATTTTTTCAGTTTATGCTGCAGCAATTTGGCCAGTTCCGCTATACCGCACAGACTTTACCATCTCAAAAATAGGATAAAGATTGACTGTCGGTGTTCAAACACCGCTGTCCACGTCGCACTGTACGAGTCTGGTGACGAAACCGGACAAGCAATGTTAGGCACAAAGTTTTCGGTAACCGCGCCCGTTCACTAGAGCGACTACGTTGGTTGGGGCATGTGTTGCACGTCACCAAATAAATTACCACGGCTCGCGATGTTTGCCGAGTAAGGTTTTGTTTGCTAAAAGGTAGTGGTCCAATTAAGACTTATCACGAGGTCATCAAAACCCGTCCAGGAGAGTTGTTTAAATAGGCCACGTTAGGTTTTCTGGGTCGGGAAATCGGGATTAACATAATCCTTTTTTTTATTACACACTTTTGTGTGATGAACAGCAGATGAGAAAAGCCTCATAATCACTAGGACCTGCTGTTCATTGATGGTAACCGGCAACTTAAGCCCCGGGACTTGGAGTGGCGACTCGCATAAGGCCCCGATAGGTCAGGCGTGGAATTGAACCGGACGACAGCAGATCTACCTACCACCAAAGTCGGGTGGAGGTGGCGGGGCTCAAACCTCAGACCATAGGGTCCAAAGCATGCCGGTGACAGCGACTAAACCACTGCGTCATTCAGTGTCTCTAACTATTGATTACAGTTATCCCGAGGTCCCCGTCCAGGGAGCCTGACGCGACCCATATGACCAAATCTCCTAGTTAGGATTTCCACATCCCCATGCCTGGTCTTATTTTGATCACACTTGGCTTTTTCCACCCACTATCTGCCTCGGCAAATATTGCGTGCCGTGGCAACCTATTTGGTCATGCGTAACACATGTTCCAGTTGAATTCATTTGTCTCCCCCGGAAAGCACTGTTAGGTAGATGAGACGGGACGAGGAGCGCTGAGTTTATTTCTGGTGGGTCATATTTGTCACATCATGATGCTGCTGTCAGACGTGGCAATTTAAAGAAAGAAATCAAACAAACCGACCTCGCCCTAGGGTAATGCTGCAGCACTACGACCGTTCATTTAGTTCACCTTAGTCACTACTAGTCACTGGTTTAGTGACGGTTTCCCTATCCGCGACCTTGGAATCCGCGGGATAGTATACCCCTCATGCGGGACCTAAGATAAGAAATCCGAATTGGTTGATTGCTGCGGTGTTGAGCAACAATAGTTGTCATTGAGGCGATCAGCTCGAGTTTATCTGGATCAGTTCTTGCATAACAGCTTTTAAGATCGATTGTTAGTCATCCATTTCAGAATTCCTAGGTTCTAGTTTAGCAGAATTCATGACAGTGAGTGTTTTTAATCTGCATTTGACCATTCGTAGCCAAACCACTTTACCTTGCAGTCCTGATTCATCGGAAACCTTAAGTCTTGTTTGTGCATTCCAATAAAAAAATTGAGGTATGGTATGGTTTAAAATTGTCGCATT